TGCGCTGTGTGTATGGAATGACCTGCCAAAGGAAATGTTGGAGGCTGGTACAATTACAACATTTAAAAGGCATCTGGATGGATATATGAATAGGAAGGGTTTAGAGAAATATGGCCCAAATGCTGGCAAATGGCAGATTAATTTATGATATCTGGTCAGCACAGACGTGTTAGACCGAAGGGTTTGTTTCCGTGCTGTACATCTCTATGGCACTATGACAAATTTAAAATCCTTGCAACCACTCAATTTATCCTTTCCTCTAGGATCCTTGTCCCAGATCAGTTCAGGTGAAGGCTGATCCAATGGTACCATTCCTTTCTGTCCAAATAGTGATGCTAGGGGCCTGCCAAATGGAACCCCTCTTACTCACACCATTCCTTTGGCCACCTATTTACTTCCTTAATTTTGTTTACTTTATGCAAATTTGCACATGGCTTGGGTAATAATCCAGAGAATGACTGCCTCACTTTTAGTCGCACCATCCTGGTCCTGACCACTGACCAAATTTGAAGTACTTAACCTACAGGCTGTGACTGCCTCCAGAAACACAGATAAATCTCTCCCTCCCTGATGTGTTGCAGTGATCAAAGCTCAGACTCCATCAACTCTGATTAGCAAACTGTAATGGTAATATTGGGCATGCTATAAATCATGAAACTATTGACTCATGTAACATGGTAATACAGAAACAACAGATCACTTTAATTTACACATAGACTGGGTGAATCCAAACAGCAGTAATGCTAATGATGATGTATTACAGTATATAGAAGCAATATATTGAGGAACCAACTAGGAATCAGGCTATTTTGGACAAGGGTTGCATAACGTGTAAGAGCTAATTAATAATCTTGCTAAAAAGGAGCCTTTTGGAAATAGTGACCCGAATTTGAGGGAATTTTGGATTTGATTTGAATGCAATAAAACTCATTCTGAAACTCAGGTTTTGGATCTGAAGAAACAGATTATGAAGTCATGAGGAGCCCTTTAGTTGTGGTGGAATGGGAAAATCCCTAAAAGACTTGATGACAGGCTGTGGCTTGTATTTTAAAAAAAAATGATGTACAACTTATATCCATTTCAGTAAGGCACAAACACTCTAAATGGAAGAGTAAATCATACATTGTTAACAAAATAAATAAAAGGTTGCAATTGATCGAAGGAATTAGCTTATAAGGATGCAAGAAAAAGTTGCGAGCCTGACAATTGGGTGCAATTCAGAACTCAGTGAAAAAGGACCAAGAAAATACTTAAAAATGTGAAAAGAGAATAATGAATGCAAACAAGCAAGGTACTTAGAGATGGGCTACAAAAGCATCTTCAGGCATGTTGAATAGAAAAAAGCCTAGCTAGGACAAATGTGGGCACATTACAGTTGGAGATTGGAGAACAAGGTGGAGAAACTGTGTCTGCCTTCACAGAGGATACAGAAAATCTCCTAGAAACACAAAGCGACCAAGAAAGTGTGGAATGGAGGAACTAAAAGAAATAAGCATTCGTAAAGAGGTAATGCTGGAAAAGTTAACTTGATTGAAGGCTGATAAACTTCCTGGGTCAGATTGCCTTCATCTGAGAGTGCTAAAGCTGATGCCCAGAGGGATACTGAATGTATCGGTGATTAACTGTCAAAATTCTTTAGATTCTGTAAGTGTTCCTATAGACTTAGAAAAGCAATGTAACACCACTATTCACAAAGGGAGGAAGAGGGAAAACCACAGAGGTGTTAGTTTGACAACACTCATTGTTAAAATATGTAAAAGATATCATAACAGGACATTTGGAAAAGAAGTCAGAGTCAACATAGATTTGTGAAGGGGGAATCTTGTTGACAAACATATTGGTGTTTCTTTGAGGCTATTACTTTTAGCACTGATCCAGGAGAATCAATGGGTGTAGTCATTTGAATTTTCAGCTACCTTTTGATAAGGTCCCACACGGGTTAGTGAATAAAATTAGAAGGTACAGGATTGGGCTAAAACATACAAGTGTAGAACATAGAACCTAGAACCTTACAGCGCAGTACAGGCCCTTCGGCCCTCGATGTTGCGCCGACCTGTGAAACCAATCTGAAGCCCATCTAACCTACACTATTCCATTATCGTCCATATGTTTATCCAATGACCATTTAAATGCCCTTAAAGTTGGCGAATCTACTACCGTTGCAGGCAGGGCATTCCACGCCCTTACTACTCTCTGAGTAAAGAACCTACCTCTAACATCTGTCCTATATCTATCACCCCTCAATTTAAAGCTATGTTGTGCTAGCCATCACCATCCGAGGAAAAAGGCTCCCACTGTCCACCCTATCTAATCCTCTGATCATCTTGTATGTTTCTATCAAGTCACCTCTTAACCTTCTTCTCTCTAACGAAAACAACCTCAAGACCCTCAGCCTTTCCTCATAAGACCTTCCCTCCATACCAGGCAACATCCTGGTAAATCTCCACTGCACCTTTCCAATGCTTCCACATCCTTCCTATAATGCGGCGACCAGAACTGTACGCAATACTCCAAGTGTGGCCGCACCAGAGTTTTGTACAGCTGCAACATGACCTCATGGCTCCGAAACTCAATCTCTCTACCAATAAAACCTAACACACCTTATGCCTTCTTAACAACCCTATCTGAGAAGTGGTTAATAGTCAGAAAGCAGAAATTAGCTATAAATAGATTATTGTCAAATACCAGACTGTTTACCAGTAGGATATGGTAAGGATCATTACTTGATCCATGCTGTTCACAATGTACATAAATGATGTGGATGTGGAGACCAATTGTAAGATTTCCATGGTCTTTTAATAAATGGGTCTGTGAATGATTCATTATTGCACACCTTTTGGAAATTGAAATATAAAATATCTTGTGCTTCCTGTTGATCTATCTGGCTGGCTGCCACCTGAACGAATTCTAATAAAATGTGTCAGGCATGATTTCCCCTTTAGAAAGCATTGCTGACTGCTTGATTAATTAGACTTGACATTTTCCCAGTGACAGATGTTAAAATGGAATATAAATGTGAATAAGTGTAAAGTTCTCCAATTTGGAAGAAAAATCAGAAAAAGCAGAGTATTTTTAAATGGTGAGAGGTGAAAGGGACCCAGTGTCCTTGTTTACAAGTCAATAAAAGTTAGCATGCAGCAGCAACAATCAATTAGGAAGGCAAAAATGTGGGCCCTCATTGCACAGGGATTTGAGACCAGGAGTAAAGATATACTTCCATCGAGCCTTTTCAGGATCTCAGTTGACATATTGTGTACAGTCTTAGTCCCCTGCAAACAGCCATATAGTTTCATAGATGGAGTGTAATGGAGCTTCACCGGAATAATCCTGCAATGGCATGATTGTCTTATGAAGAGCAATCGAAGAAACTTTATTTTGCAGAAGGGGTGACTGCATTATATCTGATGAAATTCTGATGATGCATGATAGAGTTGATATATTGTACATGTAACTATATATATATTTACATATACAGTATATCAACTCCGTCATGCATCATCAGAATTTTATCAGATAGAACGCAGTCACCCCTCCTATATCTAGATCTATACAAGATGTTTCCCCTGACATTTGAGTCTAAAACCAGGGACATAATCTCCAGAGAAGAAGGCAATTTAAGCTGAAGAGGAATTCCTTCATTTAGATGGTGTTGAATCATTGGAATTTGCTGTTCAAGACAGGCATAGATGCTCAATCATTGAGCATATTCATGACAGGTATCAATTAAAATCTGGAGAACAATGACATGGAGATCATGCAGATCAGCCATGATCTAATTTAACTGGTAGGGAGACTCCGTGGGCTGAATGGCCTACTCCTGTTTCTATGTACCTTTGAGCCTATGACAGAATACGAGGAGTTTCTTGACCAGCCTAGAGCTGGCTTGTCCCGTTCTCCTCCTCTGTCTCTCACTATTTTCCCTGTCTGATGCAGTTGCATATAATCAGCCTCCCCACCCCCATGGAAACCTGGATGTTGCTGACTGTCAATGATCCCTCTCCCTTTCCCTTCAATGACTCTATCATCTCTCGACTTATATTTTGAGTTGCCCCTTACTACATCAGTAATCCTCTCTGCACCCCAGCATGCTGTCTCCAATCCTCACTATTTATTTCCCAGCACTTAACCCTGATAACCTGCTCCCAAACCCTTAACTTTTTATGAAGAGGACTCCAGGACCAATCACGGCCCACTCCCTTGACACCCCTAGCTGGAAAGCCTCCAACAATAAATGACAAATTTTGCGTACACAGCGGGTATGCAGGGCAGGTGTAACAAGGGCTTGGCACCATAGCACCAACAATGCATTGTGACCACTCCCTTGATAGATTACTACTGTCAACTGTGACAAGCTGCCTGCTTTTGCATCTACAATGGAAAGTAAGGCAAGACAGAGGTATCTTTATTTTCTTGCTGAGGGAGCAGAGTGCAAAAAGGCAAGGCAGGGATCCTATGAGCCTTTGAAGTAGGCATAAAGTGATTGACAGCTAAAAGAGCTGGCATGCAGCCCTGAGCTGCACCATGATCAAATCTATGCCTGTACTCAGACAGCAGCTTTGCAATGAAAATGCAGAACCAAACTGTAAGTGGATCAGAGATCTGCCATGAGGGTGTGGTGAAGCTGGGATGGGCCAACTGCCAATTACGTGGGTGTGGGGTATTGTGGTCACTGTCTATGCAGCATACCCTGAGATATTAATCATGTGTGTTCAAGGCAAAGGTCCAGAAGAGCAAGCGGTGAGATGGAGTCACCAGCAACCGCACAGACTTTCACATCAGGAATTCTCTGCATCCAGTTTGCATCAGGTAGGTGGAAGAATGGGAAACTGCATTTTAATAAGGTGTGAATAAGTAATAATGAGAGTGTTAAGGAGTGATTATGCTTGCTAACAAGCCTCTTGCTGCTCTCCAGTGTGTATCTCACCTCACCATTCAGCATGTGGTTGGAAAATGGGGCTTTTGGTTCTCAGTGTCAATAAGTTCTTCATTGGACTTCTCACCTGATTTTCCCAACTTTCTCACCAAGGCTCATTTTGTTCAGGAGCTTGTACGATTCTGGCCAAAGGGCTGAATGGCCATGTGCAGTATTGGATGATTCAATAATTCTAGGAGCAGGCAGATTTCTTTGGTGCTATGTTAAATGAAGGGAATGGTCTGGGTGCTATGTGTGTGTAAAATTGATTGGGGCTCTCTTAACCTTCATACCCCTCTCTCTTGTTTCACATTACGCCCAGGCAAATTCATTCTTCAAAACTGATGCATGGATTCCTTCCCAGAAGTAGATAGAATATTTCCTGGAATGACTCCACAAAAAGGGGATATTGCAGAGGGTAATTTCTGTAAGCCTTTAAGATATCAGCTAGAGCATTGACTCACCGGATTGATTCAGTTTCAACTGCAGCTGTTACCACTCTTTGTGCGTTCTCTGTAAGATCATCCAGTGCAGCATTCAACAGCTTGTAGGCTGCAAGGTATGATGATCTTGCTGCAAAAGATGGAAGCAACAACTGGGATTGTGACAGAGGTAATCTCCACTGCTGATATGCTGTTGATCCTGAGCCTCTCTCTTCTTCTTGTTATATAGGGAATTATATCTGCCTCAACTAGGGGAATTGACACCACTGCTTTTAGTTTTTCTACAGGTTTTTCTGCAACGTTGGCCAGTCTTTGAAGAGAGGCATTGTTCAGACCTAGGCATTCATGGATTTTTTTTATTGTGTTAATCAGTATCACTCAAAGAACAGCCCAGGAGCTGAAAATGCTCCGATTGTCCCGGAAACTATTGCTACCATCCAAATTTGTTTCCTTAGCTCTTCCCTTTTCTTCTCCACAATCTTTGAATTTAAGTTTGGAAGAGCCAGTATGTGTACACTTCTTTTAATATTTGGAAGATCATCTTCAAGAGCTTTATTTAACAGATTAAAATCATACTGATTCAGATTGAAGCCTGACATCAAGAACACAAATGGTGATTGGATCCCTGCCTCTTGCAGCTTGCTGACACTGTCATTCCTGATCTTTTCCAGTGTGTTCACTTCATTAAATCTTCCTCTTCCTCTTCTCTCTGAATCAAGATCATTATCAATTTTAGATCGAATAAAGTAGAATTTCTTCCCCAGCTGTTTAATCTCTTTGGCAAGTATCACATCATTTTCTGTGAATCGACAGGCTGTGATAATGATGAAGAAATCATATATTTTAAAATTCATTGCCTTCAGTATTTATTAGCTGGAAACCTTGCCGTTCCAATTCCTGGCAGATCCCAGAAACAAACATGCGGCAGTTTGGGATGTTTGTGGTTTCTGTGGCCCCAGTTTCAGCTGCTTCCTCATCATTTCGCTGAAGCCCTCTCATTGCATTGATGAAGGTGGATTTTCCTGCACCAGAGTCTCCTGTTACTGCAATATTCAGCTCTGTGTTGTCCAGCTCAGATAACTTCTTCTGTATCAGTGGTATAACCTTTGTGACACCATGTTTTACAAAGGCATTCTTCATTTCATTAATCTCAGCCAGACTGAAGTATGAGGAGTTTGAAGACTGATCCATCTGATCTCTGAAAGAAGCATTTTATCAATATATATTTCAGCAGCAAGCTGTTACATTGTCAAAACATTCCTTCGCACTCACATCAAATGAATAAAGTGATGAAGCACAATAACTGTTGTTATGCAACAGGTTGTTTCAGCTAATTCATGGACTGCAATGTCCAAATCATGGGATGAATGATCAGCTAGATTGTCTGTTCTTGAAGCCAACCAGCCTTCCTTAGACACTTTAAATCTGTGTCCTGAGCTACAACAGCAGAGAAAGCACATTGACTGTTTTTCATATCAGTAGCGACTTCCCCTCATTTGCTTGTCCAAAACCCTCCCCATTAAATGTTATCAATCTGTCTAAACTCTACCAATTGGATGTCTCTCCAGTGTTCTCTGCAAGAATCAGTGAAATGATGTGTTTGGGGGATTGAGGGTTGGACAAAGCCTAAACTGAGGGCCCTGGTTCGTGAGACTAATCCCCCTGAGCTGAAAGGATGAAGAAGAGGGGAGGCTAATGGAGGTACATGAACAAGCACACTCTCACTACAAGTGATGCCACTGAGCAAGGGGCATGTGTTACAATCACAGGCTGAGCTGGAGCAGGAGGAACTGAAAAGATACAATACGAGGAGTTTCATGACCAACCTGGAGCTGGATCCTCCCATCCTCCGTCTCTGTCTGTCACTGCTTTCCCCGTCTGCCTGCCCAATGACTCAAGAAAGCCCTCCTCAGAAAGGGGGGAGAGGCCAGAGGCTCGTAGCTCCTTCCCTGATGTCGCTTCTTTGTCTTAGGTTGTGTTTAGTTTTCTCCTGTTAGAGGAAAGTAGATAGTGTGAGTGGCAGCACTTTATTTACCATCCGATAACTCACAAACCTGGTGTGAGGATTCATCCTTCATCAGAGTGAGGACAGGAACAGGAAACTAGAAAATTCATCCCGGAGCTTTTTACATCGTGGAGAGAGAGGTTCGATTAAAGTCTTGAGTCTGGTGGGACTTGCTCAAAAGAAGGATCTCTTCCAAAGAAGAGTCACACTGGACTCGAAATGGTACATTTGTTATTCTCTCCACTAATGCTGCTAGACCTGCTGAGCTTCTTGAGTACTTTCAAATCTTATTTCAGAATTTACCAAAGTTGTTTAAAGGGAAAAAAATCTTACGACTTGAGTCCCTCGTTTGCATATTTAATAGCTTACTGAAATCTAACTAAGATTATTCATGAAAGCTGGGTAGATGTTCTATTAATATTCAAGAAGGACATCTAGTCAATAGCAGGAAAATGATATGTTCAGTAGTTTGACATCAGTTATAAATAAATTGCTGGAAGAAGAAATTGAGCTATTTTTATGTGCTTCAGAAAATCTGAATTCCTGAGAAATACAACACCAATCTACATGGGTCATGTTGAATGGCTCATTGATTCTGACAGAATAGTTATCATGGCTAACCTCTGATTTTAAATCTAAAAAATTACTCAACTGTCTCATTTTAATATAGACTTTGAATTTTTGATTCCTAGGTATATTTTCTAAATAGGCAGTGCTATTCATATGCATGTTTTTGATTGTGGCGCAATTATCTTTGTGTGCTGTACCTGCACAAAGTGTAGATTCAGGTTACATCAGAATTATTTGCACATACCTAATATTTTTACATCATCAAACCAAATGGCGTTCCATTCATTAGGAGTCTGTGTGATTCTGAAAATTTCCACTGTTGACATTTGTCCATCCACAGACTCAATAACTTACCTTTTCACGTCTCATAAATTGTCAACACGCATTGACAAAATGAATAAAACATCGACTTCAGAGATAGTAGGAACTGCCGATGCTGGTGAATCTGAGATAACAAGGTGAGGAGCTGGATGAACACAGCAGGCCAAGCAGCATCAGAGGAGGAGGAAG